GTAACATACACGACCCATGCTCGTCGCAAGGAAATCTTGCGACTGTGGCCGGAACACTGGCCAGGGATTCGGGCAAAAACGAGATCGAGCCTCGCCACGATTACGTTGCTGCTTGCTGCAGGCGCCGCCTGGGGCGGACAAACCCTGCCGCCCCTGGACAGACAGACGCAAACAAAAGGAGCTACCTGTAACAAGTATTTTCGTGGGCGAGCGGTCGACGAGCCCATCCAGCCCTTCCAAGACTCGAACACATGGAAGAGCAATCAAATCCGCCGATCCGGCGTGTGAGTTTCAAAGACCCTCAGATATAGCCTAAGCCTCAGTTCTTGAGCTTCAGCTCGGCTGGGGGGGGGGCTGGGGAGGCTCTGCCGGGGTGGGGGGGTTCGAATCAATTTTGGTGGCAAAATCGGAGCTCCAGCTTACTCCGGGTCGGCCCCTCGCCCCGGAGAGCTCGAACGCGGGCTCCTAAAAAACCCAGCGGCCGCCCAGACGGCCCCAGAGGGCCCTGAGTGGCCCAAACATCGCTCCAAGACGCTCAGTATGCTTCTCAGACGGCTCCAGAAGCCTCCAACGTACCCTCCCGACACCTCCTAAGAGTGCCCAAAGACGGAAAATCTGCCCCATTCCCTCCGGATAACGTACATTTTTGCATTTTCGCTTCTTCGGCCTTCGCAGGTCCAACACGGCCCAAGAGACCCCCCCAAAACAGGCCCAGAAGCTCTCAAGAGGGCCCCAAGTCGGCCCAAGAAGGGCCCAAGACGGCCCGGGAGGCCCCCAAGACTGCCCAAGCGGGCCCCAGGACGGGCCCAAGAAGCGCCCAAGAGGGCTCCATGACGGCCCCAGAAGGGCCCAAGACGGCCCAAGAGGCGCCCAGGAGGCACCAAAATGAAAAGGCCCCCAAAAGGCTCAACAATCACCTCCAAGACGCCCCCCCAGGAGGCCTCGAAGATGCGTCGCAGAGGCCCCTCAAGAAGCCCACGCAATGCCTCCAAGCTGTTTCCAAACCACTTACGTTTGAACAAGCGCGCCGGGGGGAAAGCGTCCTTCTGACAGCGGCATTGGTTGAACCTTCCCAGTTCCTGGGCGTACAATGCCGTTACCAAAGTTTTGACCATTTCGTCGACGGACCCCCCTCCCCCCGTAGAATCCTACAACATGGCATCCGCCTGTCGCGGAGTAGGTTTCGGATCCCGCCCACACCGCTTCTCCTTATTATCATAGATATATTACGGTGTACAAACCTACTCCGCACGTTTTCTGACGTGGATTAACTTACTCCGCGTTCTTGTTGAACTTACTCACCGTTGTGTTTTAACTGAAGAAAACATACTCCGCGTCCTCCGAAACTTACTCCGCCTGTGTTTTACGAGGGTGCGCGGCTTTAGATCTGCATGGGCATCTGTCCGTCGTTCAGTTTTGCCCGAGGGCGCGCTTGCCGTAGGTCCAGCCTTGGGATTTGCAAGAATGGTCAAAAACTTTAGTAACGGCAGAATATGGCAAGCCCGCGGGGCCCTCACCACTCCAGCGGAGCGGGCGATCCCTGGAGTGAGAGGAAGCGCTTTCACGAGGAATGAACCTTTGACGGGAGGGTGATCAGAGTATCACGTGTGCACATAAGTGTGCTAGGTTCGCTGTGGTTTCTCTACCCCCGTTCATCCAGATCCTCTTCCTCCGCTTCCCTCCTCTCTTCTCCCCCCCATCCCCGTCCATATCCTCCTCTTCCATTATCATTACCATCATCACCACCGTTATCATAATCGTCGTCTTCATCCTCGTCGCTATAATCGACATCGCCGTCATCAACGTGATCATCATCAATTGCATCATCAGCACCATCATCACCAGCAGCAGCATCATCATCACAATCATCACCATCATCACCATCCTCCTCGACCCGCCCCCCCGCCCAACACACACACACACACACACATCTTGTCACCCTCACCCCCCCTCCTGCTCCTCCTCCTCCTCCTCCTCCTCCTCCTCCTCCCCCTCCTCCTCCTCATCATCAGCAGCAGCATCATCTCATCACCACCATCATCAGCAGCAGCATCAGCATCAATAATCATCATCAGCATCACCAGCATCATCATCAAGATCATCATCATCATCATCATCATCATCATCATCATCATCCTCATCATCAGCATCATCCTCATCATCATCTTCATCATCATCAGAATCAGCATCAGCATCAGAATCATCATCATCCTCATCATCATCATCATCATCGTCATCATCATCAACATCGTCATCGTCATCGTCATCGGCATCATCAGCATCATCATCAACAGCAGCATCAGCATCAATCATCATCACCATCATCATCAGCAGCATCATTGTCATCATCATCATCATCATCATCATCATCATCATCATCATCATCATCAGTTTCATCATCATCATATTCATAATGATACCGGAGAATAGGGGCTATAGGGCTATAGGGCTATTGAGCTATAGGGCTATAGAGCTATAGGCTATAGAGTTGTAGGGCTAT